CCCCCTCTCCCAACAGGATATTACCACCTCCATGCCTTACTATAGGAATGATGTTATTTGGATGGTGAGTTGTATTGGATTTCTGCCAGACATATAGTTTATTGTTGAGGGCAAATAGTTTTATTCTCATCTTACCATGGCCTCAGAATCTTCAAGGTGTGTGACTGCATGGCCTTACTTAAGGAGTGGCTTTTTTCTTGCAACCCTCCTATACAAGACACATTTGTGGAGAATTTGTGATATTGTTGTCATGTGCACACAATGACCCCTCTTTGTCATAAATTCCTGTAACCACTTCAGTGTTGCTGTAGGCCACTTGGTAGCCTCTCTGACCAGTTTCCTCCTGGCTCTTTGATCCATTTTGGAGCAACGTTCTGATCCAGGGAGGATCTTGTTTTGTACCAAATACAGTGGGGATCGAAAGTTTGGGCACCCCAGCTAAAAATTTGTATTAATGTGCATAAAGAAGCCAAGGAAAGATGGAAAATTCTCCAAAAGGCATCAAATTACAGATTAGACATTCTTATAATATGTCAACAAAAGTTAGATTTTATTTCCATCATTTACACTTTCAAAATAACAGAAAACAAAAAAATGGTGTCTGCAAAAGTTTGGGCACCCTGCAGAATTTATAGCATGCACTGCCCCCTTTGCCAAGCTGAGACCTGCCAGTGTCATGGATTGTTCTCAATCATCGTCTGGGAAGACCAGGTGATGTCAATCTCAAAGGTTTTAAATGCCCAGACTCATCTGACCTTGCCCCAACAATCAGCAACATGGGTTCTTCTAAGCAGTTGTCTAGAAAACTGAAACTGAAAATAGTTGACGCTCACAAAGCTGGAGAAGGCTATAAGAAGATAGCAAAGCGTTTTCAGATGTCAATATCCTCTGTTCGGAATGTAATTAAGAAATGGCAGTCATCAGGAACAGTGGAAGTTAAAGCAAGATCTGGAAGACCAAGAAAAATATCAGACAGAACAGCTCGCATGATTGTGAGAAAAACAATTCAAAACCCACGTTTGACTGCACGATCCCTCCAGAAAGATCTGGCAGACACTGGAGTTGTGGTACACTATTCCACTATAAAGAGATACTTGTACAAATATGGTCTTCATGGAAGAGTCATCAGAAGAAAACCTCTTCTACGTCCTCACCACAAAAATCATCGTTTGAACTTTGCAAATGAACATATAGACAAGCCTGATGCATTTTGGAAACAAGTTCTGTGGACCGATGAGGTTAAAATTGAACTTTTTGGCCGGAATGAGCAAAGGTACGTTTGGAGAAGAAAGGGCACAGAATTTAATGAAAAGAACCTCTGTCCAACTGTTAAGCATGGGGTTGGATCAATCATGCTTTGGGGTTGTGTTTGCAGCCAGTGGCACAGGGAACATCTCACGAGTAGAAGGAAAAATCGATTCAATAAAATTTCAGCAAATTTTGGATGGTAACTTGATGCCATCTATGAAAAAGCTGAAGTTAAAGAGAGGATGGCTTCTACAAATGGATAATGATCCTAAACACACCTTGAAATCCACGGGGGATTACATCAAGAGGCGTAAACTGAAGGTTTTGCCATGGCCTTCACAATCTCCTGACCTCAACATAATTGAAAATCTATGGATAGACCTTAAAAGAGCAGTGCGTGACAGACAGCCCAGAAATCTCAAAGAACTGGAAGATTTTGTAAGGAAGAATGGGCAAAGATACCTCAAACAAGAATTGAAAGACTCTTGGCTGGCTACAAAAAGCGTTTACAAGCTGTGATACTTGCCAAAGGGGGCAGTGCATGCTATAAATTCTGCAGGGTGCCCAAACTTTTGCAGACGCCATTTTTTTGTTTTCTGTTATTTTGAAAGTGTAAATGATGGAAATAAAATCTAACTTTTGTTGACATATTATAAGAATGTCTAATCTGTAATTTGATGCCTTTTGGAGATTTTTCCATCTTTCCTTGGCTTCTTTATGCACATTAATACCAATTTTTAGCTGGGGTGCCCAAACTTTCGATCCCCACTGTACATTCCATTTCTTAATATTAGACTTTACTGTGCTTCCAGGCATATATAAAGCCTTTGAAATGTTTTGTATCCTCAATTTATTTGTATCTGTATCTCTAGACTTATGCCTGTCCATAACTTCATCCCTGTGATCTTTTGACAGTGCCTTGCCACCCATATTTAATTGTTTGCTTCAGTTGTACTACCAAGGACTGAAATGCTCCAGGAAAGCTCTTTTCATGCTGAGCTAATCAAACTGACCACAGCTGATCACAGTTGAAAAGCAATTGGCTTTGTGTGCCTTTGAGAAGGTGATTAGCTACACCTGATTGGGTCATTTTTACAAGGCGGCGATCCTTTTTGCAACTAAGTGATTCTGGTTTTCTTTCTTTTTTTTTTTTTTTAAATTTTGACATGTTGGTGTAATATCTTTCACTTGGATGCTATAAGTTGTAAGAGTAAGTAAATACAGAGAAAATACTGCTGGATAAAACAAAAATTGTGTCTGTCTTCATTTCAGGCGGCAAAGCAACAAAATTTGATTATTTTAAAGGGGTGTGATTTTTTTCTATACCCACTGTAACTGTCTAAGCAGTACTTTTCCTGACATGTGACTGTGCCTAAGGACTCCTTTGCTGTCAGCCGTATAACTCTTTCTACCGCTTGTCTTTATTCCCCCTGAATATCAGTAGCGAATCCCCATGCCTTGAGTCTCATAGCTGTATATCTGCAATGTGAGATCATCAAAAGGTATTGCTACCTCTGACTGCTGGTCTCGCAAGATATGGAATAAGATTTGATGATGGTGCTACTATACTGCTTACTGTTCCCCTTGCTAGAGAAAAATCTGTACATGAGAACATAGAGTGCTCATCCTGTTCCTCCTTGCACAAAGGAACAGATACCGGTCCTGCTGATGGGTTAAGGAACTTATTTGGCCCTGTCCAGCTCTCGTAGAGTAACTGCCTGTCTCCTGGAATCTCCTCCATGCTCTTATGACTGTGCTGGAAGACACAGCAAACCTTCTGGAAATGGCACGTATTGATGTGCCATCCTGGAGGAGTTGGACTGCCTGTGCAACCTCTGTAGGGTCCAGGTATTGCCTTATGCTACCAGTAGTGACACTGACCCTAGCCAAAATACAAAACTAGTGTAAAACAGTCAGAAAAGATGAGTAGGGAAAAAAATGTCAGTGACCTCCACCTGTAAAACCATTCCTGTTTTAAGGGTTGTCTCATTGTTGCCCTTCTAGTGCACCTGTTGTTAATTTAATTAACACCAACGCACCTGAAACTGATTAACAACCCCCTCTGATACTTAACTGACCAGATCAATATTACAGGAGTTTAACTGACTTGATGGTATACTCTGAATAAAAAGTGTTCCTTTCATTTTATGAGCAGTATACAGGTGAAACTCAAAAAATTAGAATATCGTGCAAAAGTTAATTTATTTCAGTAATGCAACTTAAAAGGTGAAACTAATATATGAGATAGACTCATTACATGCAAAGCAAGATAGTTCAAGCCATGATTTGTCATAATTGTGATGATTATGGCTTACAGCTCATGATAACCCCAAATCCACAAACTCAGAAAATTAGAATATTACATGCAGTCAATAAAACAAGGATTGTACATAGAACAATATCGGACCTCTGAAAAGTATAAGCATGCATATGTACTCAGTACTTGGTTTGGGTTCTTTTTGCAGCAATTACTGCTTCAATTACTGCGTGGCATGGAAGCTATCAGCCTGTGGCACTGCTGAGGTGTTATGGAAGACCAGGATGCTTCAATAGCGGCGGTCAGGAATGGACTGGCCAGCAATAGTGGGGGACTCACCTGCCTATGAGCTGCAGTACCAGGGCTGGCCAGTGGGTGCTCCCAGCAATCAGAGACTCAACCTTGCAGCCAGTCAAACACCTGGAACTAATTATACTGGTGTATTTAAGGGACATTCAGACCTGCAGACTCTGCCTTGGTGTTGTGTTTCTCCTGGGCCATGTTTCCTGTTCCTGTTCCTGTCTGATTCTCTGCTGACCCTGCTCTGATCCCTGGCTTGTCTGACCATTCTCCTCTGCCTGACCCTCTGTACCACGCTGCCGCTACCTGCTGAACCTGGCCTGTGACCCCGACCATTCTCCACTTGCTCCCCCTGTACCTACCTGCCTGACTGATATTGACCCGGCCTGCCTGACGACGCTTGCATTGTATGTACTGTTATCTGTGGGTGGTTTGGTTTGGTTTGTTTGCACTGTGTTATGTTTTAGTATTGCACTGCGTTTATGTTTGTATTGTTAGTGCTAATAAATTACATTGTTTATAACATATCTGAAGTCTGCGTTTCCCTGCGTCAGTCACACACCTCTGGTCACACCCGGGAGCCCTGACATTACACCAAGGCCAATCCTGACCAGAAGTGGCTGCACAGGGAAGCCATCTTGGTTTGTTGATGGGAAGGATGGATCTGGATGAGGTTGCGTATTTATATCTGCTAGTGTTTGATGACAGGGAGTATGCTTATCAAACTCTGAAGGAGTATCCCCGGGATGAACTGGTAGAATGTATACGGCTCGCTCATGTTCTAGTAGATCAGGGCACAGAGTTCTCTGAGGTGCAGCCATTGATTGAGGTTTGTGCTGAGTTGGTTTCATCTGGTACCCCCAAATGCAGGGATGAATTTTTGCCACCATTTAGTGCAGACCAGGTAGAGTCCCTGGTGTGGTTATTAGAGGATGATGTGGGTTACTTTCTGGAGCGTTATTCCACATGTTCACCACAGGTACTAAGAGATTGTATAAACGCAGTGCAGTCTTTGGTCAGACAGTTGTGTAAGCTCAGCTTTGTTCAACCCATACTGCAGACATGGACAGATATGTTGCACCCAGCCTCAGTCAGCTTACAAAAACCCAGTCCTGCTTCTAATCTATTTCCTCAAAACTCTATTCCTGCATTCCCAACAGCTCCTCCTGCCCTGCTATCTACCGCATGTCAGTACTATGTTCCCACTCGCTGCACCTATCCTGCCTTTAACCCTGTAAAAAAGCCCTCTGTAGCAACTGCTCCCTCCCCTGTTCCATCCTCCAGCTCTTCTCTGTCTCCAGCTGCTCCATTCATTTGCAGACCTGCGTTTACTTGCAGTGCTCCAGTAGTTAAAACCAGAAAAAAGCGAAAATTCTTTCCAACCAATACCATCCTGCCAGTATCCAAACCGGTGAACCTGCCTTCCGTGGTTCAGCCTGAATCCTCTACTCGGCCTGAATCCTCTACTCGGCCTGATGCCTCTACTCGGCCTGAAGCCTCTACTCGGCCTGATGCCTCTACTCCCTGAAGCCTCTACTCGGCCTGATGCCTCTACTCGGCCTGATGCCTCTCTACTCGATGCCTGATGCCTCTACTCGGCCTGAAGCCTCTACTCAGCCTGAAGCCTCTACTCAGCATGATGAACTGATCCAGCCTGACGATCCTATTAGGCCAGTTGACTCGATGCCCACTGTTGATCCAGATGATCCGGTACCTGATCCGGTGCCCGCTGTCGTGCCAATTGAGTCAGAGTCCACTGTCGTGCCTGGTGATTCGGTGCCCGCAGTCTTGCCAGACGACTCGGTGCCCGCAGTCTTGCCAGACGACTCGGTGCCCGCAGTCTTGCCAGACGACTCGGTGCCCGAAGTCTTGCCAGACGACTCGAAGCCCGCTGTTCCGCCAGTTGGCTCGGTGCCCGCAGTCTTGCCAGTTGACTCGGTGCCCGCAGTCTTGCCAGTTGACTCGGAGCCCACTGTCGTGCCTGGTGACTCGGTGCCCGCCGCTCCGCCTGGGGGCCCAAGACCTGTCGCTCCACCTGGGGGTCCGGCGCCCGCCGCTCCGCTCCCTGGGGGTCCGGCGCCCGCCGCTCCGCCTGGGGGCCTGAGACCTGTCGCTCCGCCTGGGGGCCTGAGACCTGTCGCTCCGCCTGGGGGCCTGAGACCTGTCGCTCCGCCTGGGAGCCTGAGACCTGTCGCTCCGCCTGGGGGTCCGGCGCCCGCCGCTCCGCCTGGGGGTCTGAGACCTGTCGCTCCGCCTGGGGGCCTGAGACCTGTCGCTCCGCCTGGGGGCCTGAGACCTGTCGCTCCGCCTGGGGGCCTGAGACCTGTCGCTCTGCCTGGGAGCCTGAGACCTGTCGCTCCGCCTGGGGGTCCGGCGCCCGCCGCTCTGCCTGGGGGCCCGAGACCTGTCGCTCCGCCTGGGGGTCCGGCGCCCGTCGCTCCGCCTGGGGGCCCGAGACCTGTCGCTCTGCCTGGGGGCCCGGCGCCCGCCGCTCCGCCTGGGGGCCCGATGCCTGTCGCCCCGCCTGGGGGCCCGATGCCTGTCGCCCCGCCTGGGGGCCCGATGCCTGTCGCCCCTCCTGGGGGCCCGATGCCTGTCGCCCCGCCTGGGGGCCCGATGCCTGTCGCCCCTCCTGGGGGCCCGGCACCCGCCGCTCCGCTTGGGGGCCCGATGCCTGTCGCCCCGCCTGGGGGCCCGATGCCTGTCACCCCGCCTGGGGGCCCGGTGCCTGCTGCTTCACCTGGTAATCTCCCGATGTGCCTCTGCCCGGAGTCCAGCCCGATGTGCCTCTGCCCGGAGTTCAGCCCGATGTGCCTCTGCCCGAGTCCAGCCCAGCCCGATGTGCCTCTGCTCGGAGTCCAGCCTGATGTGCCTCTGCCCGGAGTCCAGCCCGATGTGCCTCTGCCCGGAGTCCAGCCCGATGTGCCTCTGCCCGGAGTCCAGCCCGATGTGCCTCTGCCCGGAGTCCAGCCCGATGTGCCTCTGCCCGGAGTCCAGCCCGATGTGCCTCTGCCCGGAGTCCAGCCCGATGTGCCTCTGCCTGGAGTCCAGCCCGATGTGCCTCTGCCTGGTGTGCCTCTGCCCGGTGAGCCCCTGCCCGGTGTGCCTCTGCCCGGTGTGCCCCTGCCCGGTGTGCCGCTGCCCGGAGTCCTGCCCGGTGTGCCAGTCTTTGATATCCCGCCAGTTACCAGACCCGGGCGGTGGAACATTTTGTCAAGCTAGGACTGTTTGGAGCGTCCTGAGGCCGCTCCTTGAGGGGGGGGGGTACTGTCAGGAATGGACTGGCCAGCAATAGTGGGACTCACCTGCCTATGAGCTGCAGTACCAGGGCTGGCCAGCGGGTGCTCCCAGCAATCAGAGACTCAACCTTGCAGCCAGTCAAACACCTGGAACTAATTATACTGGTGTATTTAAGGGACATTCAGACATGCAGACTCTGCCTTGGTGTTGTGTTTCTCCTGGGCCCTGTTTCCTGTTCCTGTCTGATTCTCTGCTGACCCTGCTCTGATCCCTGGCTTGTCTGACCATTCTCCTCTGCCTGACCCTCTGTACCACGCTGCCCGCTACCTGCTGAACCTGGCCTGTGACCCCGACCATTCTCCGCTTGCTCCCCCTGTACCTACCTGCCCAACTGATATTGACCCGGCCTGCCTGACGACGCTTGCATTGTATGTACTGTTATCTGTGGGTGGTTTGGTTTGGTTTGTTTGCACTGTGTTATGTTTTAGTATTGCACTGCGTTTATGTTTGTATTGTTAGTGTTAATAAATTACATTGTTTATAACATATCTGAAGTCTGCGTTTCCCTGCGTCAGTCACACACCTCTGGTCACACCCGGGAGCCCTGACAGAGGCCTTCAGCTCTTCTGCATTGTTCGGTCTCATGTCTCTCATCTTTCTCTTGGCAATGCCCCAAAGATTCTCTATGGGGTTCAGGTCAGGCGAGTTTGCTGGCCAATCAAGCACAGTAATCCCACGGTCATTGAACCAGGTTTTAGTGCTTTTGGCAGTGTGGCATACTGTATACTGTTGTGAATACAACAAAAAAAAACAAGTGACCACAATAGTTTATACTTCTATAGTGAAAAAGCATATATACTCTTACCAGAACAAAAAATAAAAACGCCTTATTCATATAGTAGGAATCATCAGCATACTTCCACTCCTTTCCTCCACTCCTGAAGTATACCTCTTAGGATGTCATCCACCATATCCTCCTAAGCATCCTTATGGTTTAAAAGGACATTCCCAAGACTCCAGAGTACTCATGTAACAAATGTATGGATATAATATAGCATAATTCCGTTTTCCATATAAAATTGTTAATTTTATTATAACTGCTTACATTAAAACGTAAAATAAACGCATATTCCCATGCCCAAAACCACTCAGGGTTGCCGAGCAGCTTCCTCTATACTTGGCATGCGGTTTTACCAGCTTCCAAAATGGCCAACACGCCACTTCCGGTTCCTTTCCTGTGCGTCTGACGTCCCTTCCCTTGACGCGTTTCATCATATCCGGGACTTAATCATAAGGGGTATTATGATTAAGTCCTGGATGTGAGGAAACGTGTCATTTTGGACATTTGACTATGTTTTGAAACTTATAGTTTATTAATATTTAAGTTTAGCACTTGGGTTTATAGTGTGGAGGTATTGGACATATTTGATCTCTGTTTAATGATTTGCACTTTCAAGGGTGGAAGTTTTTCTAGTATGTGAAAGGGTATTTGGGTTAGTTTAGTGGCAGGTGATACCGTACTTATATTTCTTTTAGAACTAAATTTGCCTAACCCATAAATTGCAGCCATAATGATTACAGTGAGACAAACTAAATTTACTTAACCTAGCACCTGACTAGGAGGGTGCTACATATATAATGTATTTATTATTCATTTTATTGTTTACACTTTTTTTCTACATGAGGGGTGTGAATCTGCCATGAAGATGTGTGGCAGCAGATTGCTTCTAATATGATTTATGTCTGGCTGCAATCAGCCTGCAATAAATCATTATAGTAGTGATCTGCTTCTGTAGGGCGAGGCCTCTGTACTGACAGGAAGTGCTGTGATCTCACTACAATTTGGATGCATACTACAATGTAGTATGCTCCTATGGAGAAATCTCTACAAAGCAATGGCATCTCTAGAAATCATGGCTTGATCACTGATAGCTGGCAGTTCCAGGTCTAGTGCAGGGGTTGATCACACAGGAGCTGTGAGTCTGGATGATGTTTTAAAATAATGCACAACAAATAGGCCTGCACAGTTTTAAACAGTACCTGGGAAACAAGTGGGTAAGTTATTGCCATATGATAACGTAAATTACGTATCAGTCAGTGACAGACATTCCTTTTGGGCCCATTGCAATTTAGGACCCCGTTTATTTTAGATGAGGGTCTGCCATATGCTGGGTTTTATCACACACGGTGTACTGCTAGCTAGCTGCAAAAAGAATAGATGAGACAAGCGATGATAATATCAGACAAAAAAATCACTTTTATTCAGATAATCCGATTGTTATGGTACTTTCACACTGATCCACCGCAAAAACATAGCAAAAACGCATAAGCATTTTTACCGCGCTTTCTGAGAGTTTTCAAAGGACACTTGACTTCAAAACTGCACCAAAAACGCTTCTCAGAGGCAATTTTGAGGCATTTTTTCAGACGTTTTCTATTCTATAGATCTATTGATTTCAAAGGGAAGTGGCATTTTTGGGGTGTTATTTTTAATTCCCCAAACATGCCCAACAGATGCTGCAAGCAGGAGGTTTTACACCGCACCGCAAGAGCAACGCCTCAGTGTGAAAACATACATGCTCTCTATGTATGGAGGAAAATAAATTTAATCTCCAAACACAAAAAGGTTTCTTCACAGTGAGAGCTGTGAAAATGTGGAATAGACTCCTTCAAGAGTTGGTTCTGTTCAGCTCAGTGGATTGCTTTAAAAAAGGCCTGGATTGTTTCTTGGATACACAGAATAAAACTGAATACTAACATTTATAGGTAAAGTTGATCCAGGAAATATCAGATTGCCTCAGGAAGGAATTTGTTTCCCTGCAGGAGCAAATTGATTCATGCTTTGCTGTTTTTTTTGCCTTCCTCTAGATCAAATGTGGGTATAGGATTATAACTTTTTTTTTTTTTTAAAGGTTGAACTGGATGGACTTTTGCCTTTTCCACCCAGACAAACTATGTAACTATGTAACATAGGTATACATTCACATGCATCGGGAAGCGTTTTTCTTGAGTTTTTTTTAACGCAAAAACGCTTTAAAAACTCCTCAGTGTGAAAGTAGCCTTAGTACACAGCTTTTGTAAGCCAGTCATGACAGTTCATTCGAAATAATCTGAAGGGACAAGCACAAAAATGTTTCTCATAAGATAACAGAACAAGCGTTTTTTGTTTAATCAGTATTTAACAGTATTTGTTCATAAAAAAAAGGAGTGACCAAGACTGCACATGCTCAGAAATGAAAGAATATAAATAATATATTACAATACAATAAATACGTTACATCATCGCGGGAAGTTGTATTCTGTCTTACAAGAATTTTCGTAACTCTAGTAACTTATTCGTATACAATATGAGATATAGCATGCAAAAAAAAAAGAAAAGGAACGGACGATCATTTGTTCGATATTCTTATCTGGTGTAGTAGGATTTAGTAACTGTATGTATCACTGGTGTTGATGGATCACCATACTGTGCCAAAATAATCACATAAGTAGTAGGAAAATTTTGGATCTCTATTGAACGCTTGAAATAAAACAGAGATGCCTTGAGGCCATGCAGAAATATCCTACCAACAACAATAGAGAGATAGTCATTGATGCTCTCAAAAGTAAAAAGGAGCATTATTTGAACAAAGGACCTTTTAGAGGTCTTACCCTTTGGCTGTAAATGATCAGATCTCCGCATGCTTCATCATCTTTACTCAGTGGAAAGTATTGTTTCCTAAGAACCTCCATGTTAATTTTGTTAAAGGATATTGCCAAATATAGAAGTTAGGTTTTCTGTGATGGAATTCCCAGTTGGTGACATAGTGGACTAACAGCAATGATCATCCTCAGCATGCAGGCCAAGCTGATGACGACAGGTGCAAAAATAGCACCCAGAGACATTAATATCTCTGCAGACATTCCCTAGTACAGCTGCGATAGAGTTGTTGCTAGGTATGATAACCAAAAATTGCTGCATCATGTGTTCTTACATAACTGTACATCTGAGCAACATTTATCTGGGATGCTAATTATCATTATCACTATTTGTATCTGTGTATAATCAGAACTACTAAATTGCCATATTATTCGTCAGTATTATACGTACAATACGACAAAAATAATAGACTCAGATAACACTATAATAAGGAATATATAGCTCTCTAATGTAGGGATTCTGACAGCAGAAATGTA